TCTTTCTAATTCTTTCATTGCTGTGACATCGAGAAGATTTCAAAAATCGCATTCTCTGTGGCAGAGAAGGGGAAGGACGGTGGACAGAATGCATCAACGGCATGTGCCTGATAATCGTCATCCCGGATGGGCCTCGGTCTCGCGGGTTTAAACTGCCTGCGTCGGGTCCCTGCGCCCCCCGCATCTGCTTTTTCTTCAACTTTCATTTTTTAATTTTCGCTTCTACTGACTGGGGTCTTCTTTGAAAAGGATCATTCTAGTTTCATTACATGAAATTCGGAGCAGTTGTTCTGCATTGCATTGGCTTGCTATGCATATGCGAGACTAAGCGACGAACCGCGAACTCTCTCGACGCGCGATCAAGTCTACAAGGACTCAAGCACAAAAGACCAGTGTCATGTCTATTCAATTTGAATTGTCTAGTCTTTACTGACTCACTAACTTGACCGGAAAGCATTAAATTCGTTTCATTTACATGAGCAATGCATTAACCTTCCAGAGTATGGTCCAGACCACACAGCGCAGAACAAAATTGGCTTCGAAGGGGAAAAAAAAAGCCATAACGGAGAAAAGAAAGAAGAGGTATGTATCCCATCCGCACACCGGCGGTAAACAAAGCACAATGGATCATTGATCACCAAAAGCTTACCATCTGATCAGTTTACAGAAGGTTTACTCCATGGCCAGACCGAGGTTCTCCTCGGCGGGCACCACACGAACGGTGTTGGTGTGGCCCATACCGCCGCGCCATCCCTGGACACAGACGATAGGGTCGCCCTTGTTGATGATGCCGAGCTTAAGACCGTGGTTGATACCCCACATGAGGCGACGGTCGACATCCTCCTGCCAGATCTTGACGTTGAAGTCAGGCTTGGACTCGGGGAAGTAGAAAGGCCACACACCGCGGTACAGGTGGGAGTACTGGAAACGTTGTCAGCAAAGAACGCCATTCGAACGATGGAATTGGACTTACCCGGGCAGCGGTCTCGTTACGAGTGACCATCAGGATGGGGCAAACGGGACGGTACTTGGACACAAGGCGAGCGGTTTTACCACTATGAACTTGTTAGTATGAACGTCACACAAACGACAAGAGCTCTGTTGCAATACATACCTGGTGGTCAGGACGATGATGGCACCGGCGTTCAGCTCCAGACTGGCGCTGACAGCAGCCATGGCAATGGACTCGGAGGTGTCAGTGGGGCGAGGGGCAAGGTTGCGCAGCTCGTCAAAGACGTTGAAGTGAGGAATGGCAACCTCGGCGAGCAAACAGGTCTCGGACATCATCTTAACGGCCTCGCAAGGGTAGTTACCCTTGGCAGTCTCACCAGACAGCATGACACAGTCAGCACCGTCAAGGACAGCGTTGGCAACATCGGAAACCTCAGCACGAGTGGGGCGGGGGTTGTATGTCATGGACTCCAGCATCTGGGTGGCACAGATAACGGGCTTGCCCTTGATGTTGCACTTAGCGATCATCATCTTCTGGGCAAGGAAGACCTTAGGGGCGGGGATCTCGATACCGAGATCACCACGGGCGACCATAACACCGTCGGTCTCCTCAAGAATCTCATCGAAGTTGTTGACACCCTGCTGGTTCTCAATCTTGGCGATGATCTGGATCTCCTTACCATCCTCGCCGAGGATGGAACGGATGTGCTTGATGTCGCTGCCGCGACGGATAAATGAGGCAAAGACCATATCGACCTTGTTCTTGACACCGAATCGCAAGTCGGCAATATCCTTCTCCGAGAGAGCGGGGAGGTCTACGTCAGTGCCGGGCAGGTTGACACCCTTGCGGGACGAGATGTTGCCGTTGTTCAAGCACTTGACCTTAAGGGTCTGCTTATCGACAATCTCAATCACCTCGAAGGACAGAATGCCATCATCAACATAGATGAGCTTGCCAGGAGTGATCACGTTGGTGATGTTCTTGTAATCCAGGTACCTGTCGTCACACACTTGTCAGTCCACGTCACAAGTCAAGCTCGTCCAGCCACGCAAATACATTGAGCGAATGTCGATTGGAACAGTTCTCTCTTCGGCAATAGGCATGATCTTAGGGAATGATCTTACATGTTCTTATCATCGGAAGCAGTGGCGTATGCCTCATCGGTGGTGATGTTAAGCACGGTGCCCTGGGCGATGGGGTAGTCCTTGTCACCGACGGTGTTACCGGTACGGATCTCGGGGCCCTTGGTGTCGAGGGCAATGGCGAGAGGGCGACCAGTCTGGACACGGGCAGCCTCGCGAGAGTTGTCAATGACAGATTGGTGGTACTGCAAGCAAGTCAGTTTAAGGTCTTCACCAGATGCTGATTGGAGATACTGACCTCATATGATCCGTGGGAGAAGTTCATGCGAACAACGTTAAGACCGACTATGACCATATCAGTTTAACTGCCCAACAAAACTGCTAATTTCCATCGGAAATTTTGTTGGCATACCTGTGCGGAGAGCATTGATCTTCTCAGAAGAGTTCGTCTTGGGACCTGATCGATTGCATGTTAGTAATCGGGATTTTTCTCAATTGCAACTTCTTCGACAGGCTCGACCTGAAAAGAGTCATTGAATGGTGTAACATACCAATGGTGCAAATGATGGAGGTACGGCGGAAGTTCTTCGCAGGCACCATCTCGGTGTTGAGCTTGGAGTGCCACTCCAGCTTCATGCGGTTGCTCAGGTGATCGAGGGAGCTGGTAGCCGCCATTTTGATATGATCAACAATTGTTGAATTAATGTAGAAAAGGTAAGGAAGTTCTGATCAATTATCAGAGAGGATGGTAGAAGAGAAAGGATGAGAGATGGAGGGGAAAGAGAAAACGGATGGGTGAGGGGCGGGAGGGAAAATGTTGGCCGCCGGTGTGAGTATCGGCATCCCAAGACATTTTTTTTGTCCGACACTAGACCATATCTATACCAAATTAACCTGTAATTTCGGCGGAATATGTATATTTGATTCATCTTGCTTCTCTCTCTTTGTTTAGCTATACTTTCTACATTTACTCCAAACCGGAGGTGTCGGCAGAGGCGGCATAAATACTCCAGGCAGAAAAAAAATTATATATCAACTCCAGACTGGGCTGACCGCAAAAAAGCGGAGGATTGCCCCGTGCTGGCCTACGCGCTGTACATTGGAGTCCCTTTATCGAATACTCTGTAAACGTGACAAATAAAGACACCCAATTGATCGAGGCCCCAGCCCAAAGACCCCAGAGGCGAAAGGGGATTTCGGTGGGATGAGCGCTTATCGATAGACCGAATTTGGACTAGTGTCGAGGTGGCCACATCCGGCCCCAGCCACATGGATTATGTCAGATCCTCGGTTTCACCAGCCTCATCTCCAGCCACTTTATAGACTAGACGTCATGTGAATTCACACGTGACCGCTCTTTGGGCGGTCTCCATGACAGCTTGGGTCTCCTCTTACTTTTGTCTCTCAAGCTTTTTGGTGACTGCCGGTTACTCAATATTAACAGTGTTGGCACCTTCTACTTGACATCATGGTAAGAGCCCTTTGCTGGTAGATCCTGGACAACCGAGGTCCCCCGAACATAGAGCATGCCATGACTGACTTGGATGTTCGGTGCAATCTAGTTCGGCCGTCTTACCCACTACGCATTTGATGCGGTACTCTGTGAGTCCCATGTCTCTATTATACCTTGGAATACAAACTAACTAGTGTCTTCAACCTCAGTCTCCGCCTTCCTGGCAGGTGTCAAGCGCTCCACGGGCCTCACGTAAATACACCCTACCCCTCACGATCCTCTTCTTCCGAGCTATCCTTTATTCTTCTCGTTTCTTGCCTTGGATGCTATCTATATGCATGGGAGAACCGTTGGCTAACTCTGTTTACCCCCGCGCACCCCCGTTGGGTCGTGTGTGCGTGGGACCTTCCTAGCCCCAGCCTCAATTCAGACAAGATCACAGAGAACAAAGACATTAAGAAATGGGTTGACAGCTACCTTGGTGTTGGCGAGTGGATGATGGATCAGTCAGTGGCTGTTATGGGCTCGTCTGCCTGGTTCGAACGACGCCGGTGATTGGCGCCGACATACTCAACTCGGGAGGCAATCGGCGATTTCTTTCTCGTGACTTGACTTTCGGCCATTTGATGTGTGTATGATTGCGGGGTCTGAAGTGGGACACTTGAAAACTCACGGGCGTGCATAAATCGCCGCGGGACTGAACTGGGGGCGCGAATCTGGGCTTGGCTTTGACGCTGGGCCCTATGACAATATGATACAATATCAGTACGTACAGATTGAGTCTGTTTTGTGGACGGTGTGTCTTCTCAAATTACCGCGACACCGCAAGTACATGCTTCAAGGCTGGATTGACGCGTGATGACCAATTATTATCTGGGCTTCAGCCTCCACTTTCGACCGATGCTTTTCAGGTCATGGCGTCTTGATTTTCTTTTCGATACCTTTTGTCTTTCTGCCTGTTCTATATCAACATACAAATCCAGTCAGAGTTTAGCAGACAATTTTTGCAATAACCCAGTCACAGACATGTCGGGAGGTTTATCACCAATAAAATGCAAGCCAAATAACCTGCTACCGTTTTCTTGCTTTATACCTAGGCTTGGGTCGGTATTGGATGCTTGAAGCTGGAGCTGCCGATTTTTTGACTCTCTGTCGGAAAATGGCGAGCTTTGGTCGAGAGTAAGTTTCGTTGTGAACTAACTACAATGATGTACACTATGTAACGTGCCAAGAATATCATGGTCCTCGAAAATATATGGCTTTTGAAGATTATGCGATATTTCACCTTGAGACTTCCTTGTTGTTGGCATAGAATAAGTTTATGGAAAGGTAAGAGATATGTGACAGAACAAGAATGTACAAAACTGGTGTGCAAGGCTATCCCAGTGGGAGAGATAAACAAATGAAGAGTCTTCGGATGGAAATGAGAATTCGGACGAAAAAGAGACCCAGGCGGAGGAACCATCTCTCAACAAAGGAATATTGAAAGCTCCTTCAACCTCCTAAGGTCGACTCAGGGGGTGCGCTTCCCTTCATGGACGTCCGTCAGCGTATCGATGTAGCGGCAATCTCGGACTGCACATTCAGCTATGGTCAGGTATCTTTCCTCGATATTACCCCAGTCCCATGTCTTCATAAATTGGACCCCTTCTTCGACTCTTTTCTGGTAGTCCTCGTCGCTCTCCGGGTGATTAAGATGGGTCCAAAGAGTTGTATCAGCCGGCCCATCTTTGAGTATGTAAGCAGAAATAAACCCCATTAGGTCCTTCTCAACTCGAACTCTGCTGCTGTGTCCAATCGGGAGCTGCAAGAGATGACGTATCAAGGATGACATGTAATGGGGAGGTTTGGGCGTGAGGAGGTGGCACTCATGGGCAAATGTCGAGGGAACCTCGACAGTATCCTCAAGAGTGAAACCAACCAGTGACAAAGGAATAAGATGGACACGCATCCAGCCCTGGCCATCAAGGTCGTGCATCAGGTATTGAGCTTCCTGGTATTCAGGCATTCTAGGGCATCCCTTCCAATCTTTCTCGTAGTAAAGAAGGCGTGGCCAGTTGTTTTCGAGCAAATGCTGTGAAGCAAGCAGCAGCTGTTTATCGGGTACAACCCACTCAACAATCTATTAGGATGATGTTAGCTAGATGTCTCATCTAGGGGACTGGAGAGGAAGCTTTCACCACTTACAATCAGAGCCTCTGCATATCCACATCTGTATAGCACCTGGTTCCCGTACTCCACAACCGAGATGGTGTTGTCGATAAGTACTTTCAACGCTTCTTTCATCACAGGGTAGTGAAACTGCCGGCGAGGTGTCACACTGGCAAGCTGTGCGTCTGATGTCTCATCATGGTGGCTTAGTTCCTCCAATGAGCCTGAGCTAGGTTGAGACAACGATATCGGCTCGATGGTAGTAGGCGAGGCAGGAAGGGGGACTGGGAGTCCTTCGATCGCCCCAGGAGAAGTTGATGCTGCCTCGATAATGGGCGAGGCAAGAGGCTGGGTTGCAGGCCCTTTGGTCTCTTCAGTCTCCATGGTTAATAGCCAATAACTGTAAAACCTTGGGTGAAATTGAGAGGATTGGGGGAGGGGCGTTGCTTTTGATCAAAATCCGGGGGCATAGTGGGAAGTAACAGGATAGACTGACAGGAAGGAGCGATAGAGTGAATGCCTAGGGTAGCAGCTCTTCTTTAATCTCAGACAACTCTATTCTCTTCCTCACTTCTGAAGTGAGGTACAATCATGTCGATTTGTTTGTCTTCCTCGCTCCTTTAAATATCAGGTCACTCCTCTTCTTCTTCTTCTTCTTCTTCTTCTTCTTCTTCTTCTTCTTCTTCTCCCTTCTCTTCCTCCCCAACAACCGCTACTATGCTTTCCCAAAGCGACTTCAGCCATTTGGACGCAGCAGCAACAGCTTTGACAGATATCTTCTACATGGAAAACATCCACCACATCTTCATTGGCGGATATGCCACGGGTCTCCTTGGAGGAGGCCGAGTGACCGAAGTACTACCTTCTTCTAATCCTCCTTGGCAAAGTGGCCTCCTGATCTGACAAAACCATAGGACATCGACCTTGTCGTGGACAAAAATTGCCGCAGCCTTTTGCTACAATATCCGGACATCACAGAGAGCGAGGATAACCGATTGGTGTACCGTCACTGTGGCACCAAAGTTCACATCGATATGGAGGTCGTGGGAAATGCACCATGGACCCCAAACCCCAGGAGCACCAAGGTTTACAATGTGGCCCCGACGGACTGTCCAGAGCGTCGATTGCGTTCTACGAGTGTGTTTTCTTGCTCGGCTAATAAAGAGCCTTCGCTAGTCTTGTATTATAGTGCCTATCCTACACCCTTCTATTCTTTTGTTGACAAAGCTCTTGCCCTGGAAGGAGGCTGATCAGGCGACACGTGTCGCCCGCCACATGAGGGCACGCACTGACCTCCTCGACATCCATACCATCCTTCAGTGGCTTTTTGATAAGGATTCCACTATCGATTTCTCCGGCTTCCCAGCTATGCCCCGAGGCAGGCTTATGTGTCTCATTGGTAGGCTCTACAGAGTCGAGAAGCGGACACGTCCATACCTCGCCCTCACCATGTCGCCGGAGGAGATGCGGGATGTTCTCACGGCATGGCTTCATGTCATGACTTCATGTCCAACTAAATGCTTAGTTGGATATTTACACTTAGACATTTCAAGAATGCAAGAAAATTCGACAATATCTGCAGTTTGGTGAAGGGGAAAGAAAAATAGCAAATCAATTGGCTATGCTAGAGGACTTATCGGGGGTAACAAGACCTACCTATCCATCAAGAGATCACTTGATCCGGAAGCTCGAGCAATAAATAATGCCAAACGAGTGAGATGCCATGAACCATTCGATAAGGTCACAAAGGTCGTCCTAGAAGCGGTCAACGAGAATGAGGAAGCATACACAACAACCTTACAAAGTCTTTCCCCCCAAGAAGCTCGCTTTCTCCTAATCTTCTTATATTCCAAAAAGCCTCATGGTCTAACAAACAAACATGATGTCGATGTTGTCACTGACACCGACTTGCCGTGAAGTCTTATTGAGAAGACCAGGTTTTACCCGCAGTAGTGATGGGAGTCTGGTCTACGACTACCGCGGGACAAAGGTGTAGATTGATGTTATGAGCCCACACACGCGCTCATGGCATATCCCAGACCCTCGAACAACGGATATCTACAATGTGAATCCGAGGATCCCCGAGGATCGCCCAGAGCTCCGGCTGAACACTTCGAGTAAGTTCTTTTTCAGATAATATCCGGACTTCACTAACCTTAATTGATAGTTCTGATCGTTTATCCCTCGGTCCTGGTGCTCACAAAGTTGAAATGTTGGAGCACAGCCGAGATGGTCACGCGACAAGCCTACCACCAACGAACGCATACGGACCTAGCCGACATAATGACCATCATACGATGGCTGGCTGAGCACAGGATGAATATCAATTTTGCGGGCCTTTCACGCGTTCCCAAAGGCGACCTGTTATCGCTCCGGGCAAAGCTGTACTGGACGCAAAAGGAGATGCGTCCACACCTCGCGGCGAAACTTACACCCGAGGAGCTGCGTGAGGTGCTTAATACCCGACTCTCGGACAATGAAGTCCGAGCCCTTTGGGACAGTCACTTTCATTAGGGCTGGGGGTGTTTTGGGCCGGGGTGGGGTGGGGCTTGAATAGCTGGACTTGAATATATCTGAAGAATGCACAAATTCAACAGAGGTGCGGAGTAATATAGTGTCGCTCATTTACTTTTCGATTCAATTGTTCCTTATTTACATATATTCAGATCTGACAAGTATATGGTAGATATGTCGCTCCAAGGGACATTCCATTACAGTTAACTGAGATAGACTAGGCAGTCTCTTTGTGGGAAACAACAACTCCTGCTTCCCTCTTCTCATCGTGGTAGATCCGCTCCTGTTCGCGGTCGTACTCCTCGGCAAACTTCCTTCCGTGAAGACCAATCTTGTACCAAGGAAGGTCGAACATCTTGTCGATAGTCTCGAGGCTGCGACCAGCGGCCTCGGGCACAAAGAGCCAAACCCAGAAACCACCAAGAACGGAAATGACACCAAAGAAGTAAAAGGTTCCATGAGGGCCGAGACCTCCATGTTCGAGCAGCATCTCAGGCAGGGAGCGGTTGACAGCATACTGACAGATAAAGTGCATGGCCATGGTGATGGATGAGCAGATACCACGAATACGGAGAGGGAACAGCTCCGAGGATAGCAGGTACTGGCCACTGTTCCATCCTAGGGCCCAACCGACACCAGAGATGTAGATGAAGGCAATGGCGGCGGTTGATGCACGGTTCTGCGTCTTGCTAGGGACAAAGTCGGGGTTTTCGGCGATGGGGACGAGGTTCAGGAAGATGGCAATATAGAACATGGCAATTGACTGGAGAACAATGCCAATAATGAGAGAGCGCTTACGACCGGCCATGTCGACCAGGAAGAGAGCGCAGATAATGGCGGCGACAAATTTGACGACGCCGAAGACGACGGTCGAGAAGAGAGACTGCTCTTGACCAGTGATTCCGACGAGTGTGAACAAATCCGGGGCGTAAACGGTAATAGCAGAGCCACCGGACCAGCAAGCCATGTTCTGAGCGAGGTTGGTGAGGAACAGACGGTACGAGTTACGTTTGATGCCAAGGATCTCCTTGAACAGGCCTTTCCAACCCATGCCTAGGGTGGCCTCCATCTCCTCTTGGAAGGCAACGTCCATTTCGGTGATCTCGTTGAGAACGTACGGGTGGTCAGCGGGTAGACCACGGAGCTTGCAGAGAACCTCGAGGGCCATCTCACGCTTGCCCTGTTTGATATAGAAACGGGGGGACTCCAGCTGAAAGAAGGTGAGAATCAGGATGATTCCGGCGAACATGAGGTGAAGTGAAGTAGGGACAGCCTGTAGGGGAGGACGTGTTAGCCAACTTAGTACGATAACATTGTAGTGGCCAGCACTTACCCAGCGGTTGAAGGTGTCCGCCATGTGAATCTGAGCGCCCCAGTTGGCAAAGTAGGCAATCATGATACCACTGGACGTAGTATTAGTATAGAAAAGCGAGACAACAGGGAAGAAGAGTATGAACTCACAGGTATACAGCACCAGTAAACATACAAGTGCAGAGACCACGGATGGGAGCGGGTGAAATTTCAGAAAGGTAGATGGGACCGACAACACAAGTCTGTCCAATACCAAGACCAGCAACGAAGCGACCAGCGTAGACGGCATCCATGTTGCCGTTGTTTCCAATAAAGATGGCGATGCCGAGAATCCAGAGACAGCAGAGTTGGCGAGTAGCCCAAACACGGCCGATACGATCACAAACGACGAAAGCACTGTTATTCAGCCAGGATTAGCAAACGTTCTCGGGTGTAGAAACGACGATGATGGTTTTTAAGGCAAGACTTACAACAGAGCACCGGCGATACTGCCGAGCTGAACCATGGAGGAAATAGTACCCTTGATACTAGCGAGCTCACCCTTATCGAGGTCGTCAATACCGACAGACTGCTTGAAAGCGTGAGAGTTAAAGACACCCGTGATAAGACCTTCGTCGACACCACGGGCAGCGCCCATGAGACCAAACGCAAAGACGGCGAACCATAGCTTTGCGTTGAGGGTCTCTTTGGGCAAACCGCCCGTGTTGAACTTGAAGACGTTTACAACAGCACCACCCGCCATGATGAATGATGTTATCTGTAGTTTCTTGACTGGTCGTGAAGAAGAATGAACAGGTCAATCTTGTATCGAGGTTATGAACCTGTATAAGAGACAATGTGGCAGCGCCGCAAAGCTCGAGGGAACGAATCTCAAATGAAGACGATGAGCTCAGCGGGGGTCTTCAAAGCTGGCAGTAGGAGAGAGCAGACTGGGAGGGGGAGGCTACATTCGGGAAAAAAAAGGTATGCAAAGAGCGGGCATGGACGATCTCTTAAATTTCAATATTGCGCCACGGGATCTAATACAGTGACCCTGCGCCCAGCCTTTGTCTTGAGCTTTGTCTTGAGCATTCAACCCAAATTCCTTAATTCCCCGATTCTCGGGCAAGAACAAGCCCATAGCTCTACCAGCTGTCCACGAGGGATGGAGTTTGATCGGCCATGTATCAAAGAGTACCACAGCCCGTACTCCAGCCTTTACCCCACGCCAAGCACGGGTGGTGGTTTGCGGGCCAATGGCCTCCAAGGTCCACATCAATGGCGCTCTCTTTCGCGCCCAGGCCACTCTAATATCCCTGAAAACTGGGCATATATGACGCATACCTTAATTGTAGATATCCTCATTTGCCCGCCCCTTCGGATGGATTCCGAACCTCATTAAAGTTCGTCCGCGGGGAGACCGAGAATCTTGGCACTAGACATTGTGTGGAAAGTCGACATCTGATGACACAGCGGGAAAAGGGTTGAACTGCAGTGAACCTGCAGTGCAAGAGAATTAGAAGGCTGCAGGTCATGTTTCAAATCAATTCTGAAAATGTTTGCGCCATGTGCTAGATGCATTGTGTGCCGTTGAAAAAGACACCACAGAAACAGCGGCGATGCCGTCAAATGAAAAGAAAGCAATCATTTCGATCCGGGATCCAAGCTCTCTTGGCACTGTTCCTCAAGTCTTGGATTGTCTTGGTGTATCACCGAGAGTCGGCCAACGGCATATTTTGATGGTTTTGATGGTAACATGGAAGTCTGGGGTCTATGCGACTCGGCCCAGAGAAGAGATAGAGGGAGAGAGAGATTAGCCCGGGTTGGCTCGCACTGATATTTCAAACTCCAGTTTCCCCTACAGAGTTCCCCGCATATCGTAGACCAGGATAGACCGAAGGAAGCGGGTCACACGGACAAGACAGCAGGACGCGCACCAGCGACGAGTGACTCGTGTGATCGGTGGTAGTTAAATCCTTCGAGGGAAACGGGACAGTCAAAGTGATCTAGGCTTTTGTGGAATAAGTGAACTATATATAAAATAAGCGAGCATTTGGTAAAAGGATAGTATACACTGCATTGCTCGAGAACATGTATTTTAGGAAAGACTGTAAGAAAATCTCCCCAACGTGTTACTTGCGTAGTCAAGTCAAATCATGCAGATCTCAAGGGTTCGAGGTGAAGATGGATGGCAACGAGGACTCAGCCGCATTTTGCGACTGAAAGCAAGGAGTAAGGGGGGTGGGGAGCGGGCTGTCCGATTGGACAGAGCTGCCGGGGGGTAGCAGAGTGTAGGTAGAGGGCTTGAAGGATGGAAGAATAATAATGAGAGAGAGATTCTGTGACAGCGTAGTATTGAGGTGCCAAGCCCAAAAAAGACAAACCTAACCCGAAAAGGAAATTCATCCTCCGTTTACTGAAAATAGAGACACATTGGGGTATGTAACAGATAAAAAGATGAAAGAAATCACAGAAACATGCCAATCAACTATGTAGGATATCGTCAATGTTCACACGGCGGTAATAGGAGACATGGCCTATCTGCTTCCAGTAAAGAGCCATGTGGTCAGGAGAAATAAGGATCAGTTGGGAGTCAATGTAGGTGTCTAATAACATGTTAGAAAATATCGCTTTGGCTTATTTAGTACAGCCGCTTACCGTCAAGGAACCCAAGTCCAGCTACATGGCCGCGACAACGCACAATTCGGGCGCCAACAAAAGGCTCATCCATCGCAACACTAATCAAGCCTCTGGAGCCAATGTCTTCGGCAATAAACGAGAACTCACCACGAGGAACATTGGAGTCACCTGTCAGCTTGACAGCTTGCAACAAACCTCGCTGTCCAATATCCTCCTGGCTGTCGTGTTCGACCTCATCCTGGGCGTCGATTACCTTCGCCTCTTTTTCATTATCGTGTGCTAAGTCCGTTATCTCTTTCTGGAGAACAAGCAAAAATTCACACCCATGGGCTTCGTAGTCTCCAACCCAAATTCCCTGGTACGGTTTCTCTACAGAGGGTGTGTATAGAACGGGATCAAGAGTTGAGTAGGTCAGACTCGCTTTCTTTGGCACCGGCGGCAATTGAAGCTCTGGGTTTGCCCACGGGTTCCCCCACCTTCTGAGACGGAAGAATGATTCTGATAATTCTGACGGAAGTTTCACTATTGGCGGAGGGGAGTTTCTCAAATCACGAACTGTGCGAGCCTTGCTCGGGATGGTTCGTGGTGGCCAGAGCACATTGGGTTTGGAAAAAGGCCCTCGGGGGCTAAATTCAGAGCAAAACGACAGCGAGGTATAGATATGCCGAGCATCCGAAGCCATGTTCATGCGACGTTCCTCGGGCATATAGTGAAGGGATTGGATTGGAGCTATTTGGGAGGATGGATTAGGGTCTTTGAGAGACAAGACAGGATTGTCCAACGCCAGATGGACACTGGGTTCAAAAGACTGGATGATAACTTCTGGGTTTGACGCCCATGATTGGAACCCAGCAGTGCCACGTTCTGCAACAACTGGGTGTGCTTCAATCATACCCCGGCCATTATCATATCGAGCTATGATCAGCATCCCCGTGTGTTCAGTGTCCGCGAACCAAATCTTGTGCTGAGGAATGAACCAACAGGGGTGATACGCAAGATAAAGACGACGAAATGATCCAAAGGGGCCTGGGCTTTTGATAGGAGCAGGCAGTCTCTCGTTCACGAGATTAGCCCATATAAAGTCATTCGATGCATGATCGACGAGGGTCCGGCAAGTGGCACCAAGGCAGGCAAGATCTGGAGCCGAGAGATAAGATGCAATATCTTGAATGATCTCAGCGGGTAATTTTTCGAGGAATGACAATTGACCTGCGGGTGGAGACAGCTGCTCATCATTAACTGACTGATCATAGTGACCATCGTTGCTTTTTTGCTGCGTCAAAATGTGAGTACAGGGCCATGTCCACGTTATTGTTTATCAAGAGCAATAATGATTAGACATACCCGGCTAGAAAGTATGCTAATCGCCATCTTTCATTTATTGCATCGAGATTTGCAAGAGACAAGTGAGATGGTTGAGCCTCTTCAGAGTATCGTAAATGACATCACTGGGAGACCCAGGAGAGGAGGGGGAAATGCATAAGGGTCACACGGAAAGAAGGGGAGGTGGGCCTAGCAGGGAAGAGGTTCAGTGTGCCTAATATTGCCAATATTGCAGGGTTTGGATTGGAGAAACCTGCACAGCTTCCCAGTTTTGTATTTGGAGCGAAACCTGGAAGCTATCGATAAGGTTACTGTGGCGGTGTATACTCCGAGTAGCTCTGATCTATACCCGTGGACAAGACATATACAATCTCCGATATCCCGGGTAGCTAAGTATCAGCCTATGAAGAGATCATCAGATTAAATTCACACCTATTATTGTCGATATACCTCGAGTATAGACATAATGTAGTATGTCTCCTGTGTTGGATAAGTAAATATCACGTGTCTTATCACCTGATCGCCTAAAGAAGCATATTGTTTACCCTTGCCGGAATAGGCAATCTGAATCCAGGCACGCGTCTGGGCGCCTGCTGCCTATAGAGCCCCACTTTGTTTGTTTACATCTTAACTTGTGATCTATAGAGTTCTTTAATAAGCCTATCCCTAAACCTGGGCACTTTTATTTTGTTTTGTTTTGGCTTTCATTATTCCAATATACTCCCCTTGCCAACATGGGCATCACTCGGTCAGGAAGGAAACGGAAGAGCTCTCTTTCAAACTCAAGCCAGTCTCCAGTCTCACATCGGACTAGACAGAGCTTGGCAGCGGTGCCAACAGATGCCGGCCTCAATCAACAGCAAAAATCAGTCTCTGTTACACCTAAGAAATCAAGAAAGAGAGTCCGGTTTTCCGACCCGGGTCCTCGGTTACTAGATGAGGCAGGTATTGGGTCGACTGGCTTGACTCCAGCGATGCGTCGAACGTCGTTCGAGGCAGGATCTGGGGATCACACACCTAGCCGCAAAGCCCGTCGCAGGTCTGCCCCAACACCACGCTTCCGGCGGTCATATGACACAGAGGAGCCGTTTGACAAAACATCCACCGAGCGAAGGATCCAATTTACTCCGTTGCGCCAAATTTTGGATACACGGACGCAGAGAAGAATTAGGCGAATCGGGCTGAGTGATGAAATCAATCATATTGAGCGCGAAAAGCGTGAGACGCGCAATATGGAAAAGACCATGCAAGCTTTGCTTCAAGAGCGAGATTCCCTGAAGGATGAACTTAGGGCCATGAAACGAGGCGGGGTGGGCTTTGAGGTCCAAAATTCGGTGGCTGAGTCCTATTGGATGACACCAGTTACACCTAGGTCTTGCGAGGAAATGTCAGTGGTTTCTAATCACAGTCGGGATGATACCGCTCCATGTTCGAACGGTGACGGAGAGACATTCTTGTTCAATGAAAGTGCAGTCATTGTGTCCAGCTCCCCCGATTTCCGTGGTACTCGAAGTCATAATCCACCCGTCACTGATAGCTTGATGCTATCCGACGAACCCCAAACACCCATTCGCGCCACCCAAACGCAGACTTCAGTCAACACAGAGGCATCTGACATTCACTCCCTGGGCCTAGATTTGGAAGCTGCCAGACAAGAAAAGAACAACTTGTTCAATGCCTGTCGGTCACGAATCTCGGGGCTCAATGACCCTACGATCAGTGGCCTTTTCAGCCAGTCGTCTCCACCATCCGACTTCTTTGAGAATATCATGAAGATCTTGGAAAATGCTCTGTCTCGGGCTTCCGATGCTGCTGAGGCTCTTGAAGGAGTCACCCAAGAATGCTCCAGCTTAGGATTCTCCGGGGATGGCGTAGATGATGTCATATCCGACATGCGGAGTCACTTCCGCTCGGCTCGTCTTGAGCTTGAGCGCGCGTTACCTGGTGAAACTGCCAACGTTGGTCTTGAGGACGGCAAGGCAACCCTAGGTGCGCTAGTGAGGCGGGTTGAATCACTCGCAAAAGATCTGGGGACAGAGCGCCATTATCATCACGGCTCTCTCGGCCGAGAAAGGGCTCTTCGAGGACAATTTGATGCATTACTACACCGATATGAGACCGCTGCAAAAAGGATTGTCACACTCGAGGAGGCAATCGCATCTTCAGCAGGCGACATGCTCCACACGCGGATGCGGATGCAGGACCTCGAGCGTGACGGCCAAGAACAGGCCGTTGGGATTGACAGATTAAATACAGCCCTCGACAAATACCATCATGAAGTGAAGGGTCTCGAAGGTCTTATTAACAACCTTGAAAAGGAAAATACAGCTACAAAGGAGGACTACAATCGGCAGATATCGAAGCTCAAGAAACAAGTGGCCCATGAACGCTCAAAACGCTGTTCGGCTGAGGCTGCTGCTTCTGAGTCCGAGTCCCGCATCCGAGAATTGGAGGAAACTGTCGAGCACAATCGAATTCAGGCTTGCGACTTGATGGCCCAGGTGGAACTTTTAGAAAAAGAATACCAAAGAGCCATCGAGTGCCTTGAAAAAAACACTAGTGAACTTCAAGCGCACGAAGCAGAGACTGGAACTCTCAATGTTCGCATCTCAGGTCTTACCACATCGTTGCATAGTGCCAAATGTGAGATACAGCGTCTTCGCGATCTCAATACTGGCATTGAAGAACAGCTCCAGCTAGAAGTCGAAGCTCGAAATGAGCTCCTGGACAAGTGGGCCGCAGATCAAGTAAGATCGTTCACCCACATGAAGGATACTATCAACTCGGAACGTCGCAGAGCCAAAGTTCGTGCGGCCAATTGGGAATTGAAATCGGATGATCTCATGTCAGATGGCACTACAATTGGCACTGGGAGTGAACCAATTACTCCTGTTAGCGCCCGATTTGTTGATATCGAAGTCGGCCGTGGCAAGGACCGTCGGCGTATGGATTCCGAAGAACTGGATAATGATATCTCGGCAGTCGGCAGCGGTATCGGATCCCATATTAATATTCAGCTTCCCGCGTCAGATTTAGCTTAGCTTTTGTACACGATCTTTTTGTTTATTTACTTTTTAACTCTGTCTTGGCTCGGATATACTATGTCTTGGCTCTTGTATACTTTGTCTTGGCTCTGATATCTTCACATTTTCTATATTATTTTCTTCAACATTCAACCCATCTCTAGATGTCATACCGGCTAAATCTTTCGAATTTGCAGGGGTCGTCTATTATTCCCCCGTCGGGGACAACCCGGAGATAGGTACTCCGTACTCCGTACGATTGTTAAACGGGTTACATGTGGAGCAATTACCCCATCCCCGGAGCTGATCTTATCCAGAAATGATGAAACGGTTACTACGCTGAGTCGCATTTAATATATAGACAATCTCCAGATAACAGGAAGCAAACTCATATATATTTGCAGGCTGGGACCGAAATTCTCCTGCCTCACCGTACCATTCTCCACAATGAGACTCAAATCTTCAGCCATTTGCCTCATTGCAAGCTGCGGCTCACTTTGTAGTGCCACAAACCGCGTCCTCAAGCATGGTTCTCCTGAATCAGTGGGGCTTCTCGCCGAGCCTCTTGAACAGCTGCCACTGAACTTGAGCCAGTACACTATTCCAGCCAATTATGGAACTGCTTCACACAATGTGATCCACCCCATTCAGCCGGGAGGCTCTGTTGTTATCGGTCACAAGTCCACCATTGTGAGCTCCTTCGCTTTCGGAAATACGAATCTGTATGCAGACTCCAATGGCACATTGCTTCCACCCGCAGAGCGGACCCGGGCCAAAATAGACACAATCTACGATATGGCCAGTCTGACCAAAGTGTTTACTGCGGTAGCCGCATTGCGCGCGATTGATGAGGGCAAGCTAAGCTTGGACAAGACCGTCGCATCGTACCTTCCTGAGTTCGCTGCCAATGGGAAGAGTGACATCACTGTCCAGATGCTGTTGACCCATACAAGTGGCTTCGCTCCGGACCCTCTGCCTGGACTGTATGAAGCACCCTACAAGACTATGCAGCAGCGCGTCAAAGCTGTCATCGAGCATGAGCTCGAAAATGCTCCTGGATCTACATACACCTACTCAGATCTGAACTTTATGAACCTGCGCTTCTTGCTGGAGAAGGTCACTAAAACACCATTTGAGGAGTATGTCTATTCATACACCCGTGCTCTCGGCATGACCAGCACCTTTTTCAACAAGGGAAATAACCAGTCCCCTAAATTCCGTCACTACGCACGCATGGCGCCGACAGAGTACCAGATCGAAGTTCTGGGAGACGCCGAGCCCAAACGTCCCCAGCCAGTGCGAGGAACCGTGCACGACGAGAATGCCTGGGCTCTTAATGGTGTGAGCGGACACGCCGGCCTCTTTTCGACCGCCGGGGACGTGGCAATCTTCTGCCAGATGATCTTGAACAACGGCACATATGGCGGCAAGCAGATACTGAAGCCAGAGACTGTGGACTTGATGTTCACGAATTTCAATACCGCATTCCCTGGTAATGAGCATAGTATCGGGTTCGAGCTCAACCAGAGCTATTTCTCGGGACCCATGGCCAATATGCTGGCTGGAGGCCACACGGGCTTTACTGGTACCACGCTTGTTGTTGATCGGAAGTCGGATACCTTTATGGTCATGTTGGCCCATCGTGTGTATCCGAGCCGGAACTGGGCGAGTAACAATATTGTTCGGGAGGCGGTAGGGTATTGGGTTGCCCGCTCGCTTGGTCGGGATGTTTCCTTTCCATAATCTTTGATATCTTGTCTGACGAGTATCTAAATGTACTGGAATGCAACTGTGAATTTCGAAGGGTAAGGATGAACAAAACTTGTGTATAGTTCAAACATGTATTATGGAGTAATATTCTCAACGATTGTGTATTATAAACATTGAAAATCAAATGGTATCTCTATCTGTACGCATCACAAAAAAAATAAACTCGCAAACAACCCAGATCAGAGCAAGCAAATTCCAAACCCTATTCGCTAGTCATACCGTGAGGCCGAGGCTCACTCAAGATGCTTTTTTTGCGGTCGAGCAAAAATAGCCCCAAAGAGATTGAAAACGTTGTTACAGCGAAGGAGCATGCAATAAAACAAGGTGATCCCTGTAACCATGATCTCCTCTTGCGCAGCTCTGTCATTTGCCTTGGGGCCACTGAACTCGATTTTGCCAATTTTGGTGACACCCCAGCAATTGGCCGTGAATTTTGCCACGGGAATCTGTTGCTCATCAACACAGATAAAGTCCCAGTTCGTGAACCCTGCATCACTAGTCCATGTCATTGTGACTGGGGATTTGGTGTCTGAGAAATTGTGTGAGCGGTGGGTGTAGACAACCCGAAAGCGTTTCTGGGCTAGCAGGTGGGACTTTTGTCCACGTAGTTCGTACTCGGCGTTGATGGAGACCAAGTTCAGCTTGCCAGTCCCGATGACTTCTTCGTTGGGGGCTTTTTTGAAAATCATGGTGGTTCCGCAACTGAATGGGAAATGGATAGTGTATAAGGGGTCTGATCCGGGATTGTTGGCATCGGAGACTATGGCCTTCCATTTCTTCCATGTAAAGTCAACTTTGAAAGCGGGACTCTGGGAGGAAGTTTGGGTGTAGGAAGTATCGGATGAAGCCATTTTGTTTGAGTCGGCTGTCAAAAATGGATTCTTTGAAGGAGTTTGGATGCTTAGAGGGATATCGGTTGAAGTCATTGTATTTAGCAGTTGAGATAGTTGAATGTTGTATTAATCTTGTGATGGATTAGTTTGGAAGGGAGATATAGACTACTTATATAGCTCCAAGCAGCCCTAACAGAAAAACATACTGAGGCGCAGGTCTTGGCATCTCCACCCGTTTTATGGTTATCGTCCTCATCGCACTAACCTCTTCGGGTGCCACGTACCGCTCCAACCAATCAAATTTAAGTTTGAGGCTAAGGTTTCCGGGCTGATGTCATTCCCTTATATTTGGGGGCCAGCTGAACAAGGCTGAGTCTTTGCTTGCACTCTCCAGGGCTACTTAGAACAAATAGAAATCCTTGACATGACAGTACCCTTATTTACTCCGTATACAGCTCTGTGTTGGCAGTTTTAAACAATTCTCATTTGTGGAAAATGCATGCTATCTATGTACCTAGATTGACGCACTTAGAATCCTTGGAACAATTAGGAGATTACAACACTGATAATGCTGGCATACATTATCTAGAGCTCTTCCATAGCAAGCATACCTCTGTTGATTTATTGGTATTTGGGCACAGTTGTAGTCAGAACTCCGACACTGAACCTTACCAATACTTGATTGTCATCCCGAGGTCAACAACGATGACGTTGTCGGGCGTCAAGCCTATGAAATTAGATTCGTCGGTCACGCTTCAAATAGATTTTTTTAGCAACAACTTGCCTAACAACATCAATCCTTTGCACCACGTCTCACCAAGCCACTCTACTACATATTCACCCCAAGAATGGTGACCCAGGATACCAACGCAAACAAGCACCGCTTGAAAGTAACGGCAGGTGCGGACTACGACCCCAAAACTCCCCACCAAGTGGTACCTGTAAATGGCGAGACAATTCGAATCGAGAACGAACACGCTATTGTGAGTCTCTGCGTACGGATCAAAAATTACACAGGTAATATCCCTAGTCTCGTCTATTCAGCCAACGGAGCTCATCCGTCAAATAGGCTATCCCGAAAGTTCACCATCCACAAGTCCATATTTCGACCATCCTCTGCATGAAAAAGACCTATATTCCATATGCTTCTCAATAATTTTCAAAGAGCCGGTGAACGGCAACAACCTCTTCTTTGGCAATGACTTCGATCATCCAATCCGTGACATCCTACCACCAGGATTCAACGCAGCGCTACGGATAGTCAAGTGGACTCTCGACCCTAGCCTAGACGGCGATGTCTACGCTGATGAGCCGTACCTGTACAGCCCGGCATTGGCATCATGGGACCAGTTCCGCATTGGAGATAAGATGCGGAAAACAGAGGACGTGCCAAAGCTCCATGACGAGATTATTGAAGAAGGTTCTTATAGCGAAGATGCTGCCAATGTGCGTCAGCAATTCAATATCCCCGATACAGTCGAGGGGCGCAGAAAGTATTTCCAGGATGAGATGAATAGAAAGGAGTTTACCTTTGAGCCTGGGAGAATGTATACTGTTGATTTTGGAAATCCTTATTTGGCATTCGACGGTGAGTGAAACGCGGATTTGTTCTTTTTATTGGGATCGTCGGCTCACTGGTTATAATAGATTTCTCTGTTCGTCTTCCTGGATTCACTCTACCTATCATGAAGTACGTCAATGAGAAGAACCATCAGCTGCGATATACGCTCAAGGACGTTACAACCGGAAGGGTGTATCTTGCTGTGGTGTTCTCGGTGGTCCTGTGCGAAACGGAAGATAAGAAAGGCCACAGCAAGAGCGAGCAACGTGATGAGAATCTAGGGAAGTTTGACTGGGAGGCAGAGCCATCGTCTAGCGATGTTGAGTGATACATTTCTTGGTTTCACAGAGTCTGCTGTTGTTCTAGAACATCCCTGCACAAATTGAAATAGATATGAGTTTTGACAATCACCAAGGCTTGGGTTTTTTTTACAATTAAATGGTTGTCAATTCAAAAACAGTAAATTCATCTCTAAGTATCATTTGCAAACTTTAACTTATATACAAGTTTACTTTTACAGTCTCTTCAAGACATCCTCCAAGACCTGCTGAGTGGTAGCCTTTCCGCCCATATCGGGGGTAAGGAACTGAGCAGCATCCAGGTTACCATCGACAGCGGCGTAGATCTTGGCAGCTGCGTTCATCTCACCGAGGAACTCGAGCATCAGAGCAACACTGCGGATAGTAGCAATGGGGTTGGAGATACCGAGGCCCTCAATATCAGGGGCACTGCCGTGGCAGGGCTCACCGATAGCGAAGCCATCACCAACGTTAGCACTGGGGACGAGACCCAAGCTGCCAACAAGGGCAGCAGCACCGTCGGAGAGGATGTCACCGTAGAGGTTAGGGGCGACAATGACATCGTAGAACTCGGGCTGGCGGAAGAGCTTGTAGACCATGGAGTCGACGATCTGCTCCTCGACGAAGACGGAGGAGAACTTCTCGGCGGCAAGAGCACGGCGCGCGGTCTCACGGAAGAGACCGTCAGTCTGCGAAAGCACGTTCGACTTGTGGGTGATGGTGACCATGGGCTGGTTACGAGTAGAGGTGCCGGGGGCAGCGTCGCGGATGTTCTGGCGGCTGAGGGCAATCTCACCGGCGATCTTGGAGATGCGGAACGAGGCATGTTCGGAGATACGCTTGATAGCCTCGGCAACCTTGCCGTTAGGGGTGTCGATGGTGCGCTCTTCCTTCACGTACAGGTCCTCGGTGTTCTCGCGGACGATGACAAGGTCAATGGGCTTGCCATTGCTGTTGCCGGCGGTGGTCTTGACAGGGCGGACGTTGGCGTACAGGTCGAGCTTCTTGCGGAGAGCGACAATGGGTGACGAGTAGCCAGCGACCTTGGTGCTGGGGGAGCTTTGGGGTGGTAGCAAGTGTCAGCCGGAATTGCGCATATTGAAAGAATGGTATAGTGGCTTACCTGACAGCGCCGAAGAGAGCACCGTCACACTCCTGCTTAAGGATATCGACAGTCTTGTCGGGGAGAGCGGTTCCAGTCTTCTGGAAGGTATCGTAGCCGGCCTCGAGGTCGACGAAGCTGAACTTGAGGTTCAGGGACGCGGGGAGGGACTCAAGGATGCGACGGCCGGCCTATATTTCACCAAACAACATTCAGTCAGTGAATTGGCTCGCATATCAAATCTTGAGAGAGCTACCCACCGGGATGACCTCCCGTCCAATACCGTCTCCGGGGATGAGACCTATTAGATTCCAGCCATGTCAGTCAATTGCCGACCCACGAGATCGCAAAACAGGGGCGATTGTACCAATGCGAAGTGTCCGGGCAGCAGCCATTTTGATAGACTTTTTTGCAGAGTTGCTTTCCTAAAATCGATATTCGCCGTCATCGGAGCTTTTCGTTTTGTATACGGCATCGGATTATTATTGCTCCGCTATTAACTCCGGGGTCCGGAGAAGCGGCGACCCACTGGACGGAGCACGCTGTTGTATACATCACCTCTCTAGCAGATTATATGGAACACAGATGACGAACAATATTAAAAAGCCATGTGTGTCCGCTTGAATATCTGTTGGAAGGTAAAATGGCGTAGTCAGCCGGGAAACCGTTCAAGGTTGCGCCTGGGTATGTATGCATGCTCGGACTACCCAAACGGGTCACTTCTCGCGAAGTTGAATATAAACAACATTTCGCAGTTTCCTAGCGCCTGATTGTGTGGCTTCGCCGAACTTTAAAATGTCCATTTTCATCGTGCCGCTCAATCTTTGCAGCCATTCAAGTCTTTTGAGGAGCCATCCACCCTAAATGCTATGAACGCTAAACCCAAATGGGTCACTTACCGCGATGTAGATCCACCGGCATCGAGTATACAAAGTCCTCGACAGAGATTGAACCCAATTCTCAGAGTAGATATTTAAAGCAGTCCAAATTGCACTCCATTTTTCATGTTTCTATTCAATTCTGTACTTCATCAGCACCTAAATCTTATTGTGGACTCTTTCTTCGAATCCAGCTCACTATGACATTCAATCTTCTGTCCCGTTCGTTAAATTCGCCAATCTCAACTGGGAAGCGGAATATTGCCATTGCAGAGATTATCATATATTCCCTCATCCACATTGCGCAATTCAGCACAAGATGCATGCAAGAGTGGCGATACTGGCACCACAATAAGAACAAGAGTACCAGACGATGTGTGTTCTATTCTTGGTGGAGTATGGTCGGTCTTCTATCACAGAGTAAGTGGGATACATTCGGACAATTTTAAAGATACACCTATTGAACCCCTTCATAGTTCGCATAGCGGGCTCGGCCCTGGTGCTTGCCAGCTCACATCCGGAGAAGCCAATGCTCATTGCTGAATCCGTTTTGCAAAGCGTGGGCCTTTCGCCCCTCTTGTTTGAAGTCAGCTTGGTCTTATTGCGGTGGTATGTTGAAGATTCTTAGGTCCTGAAAGTCTTGCTGATGATGTTTCTCTGAATAGTGGACAATCCGGAGAGACTGGTCCTGGTAATTGGAAATGGACCAAGCGGACCCGGTTTGCTCTGCATTTCTTTCGTTTCCCGATTTTCATCGCCATCATACTAGCAGTAGTGGGCGGATGTATCAACATGCGCGCATTGGGAGAAGCTGGATCCATTGTTCTTATTGTCACATTCGCCTATGTGTGCGGCCTTGTTGGTTGGCTTGCGGTAAAATCGCGGTCGATTCTTCCCAAGTCAGGCCACCACGCCGTACTTTTGACATTGTTGACTCTTCCCTTTTTGTTGGTCCGGGTCATTTATTTCCTATTGTTGGAGTATGGACCCCCCAAGTTCAACCCAGCCACTGGCAATATCAGCATCTTTGTTGGAATGGGGCTTCTGATGGAGACCATCATTGTCATATTGCTTTTAGCGGCACGTGCTGTAGCTGAACCGGTTTTGCCGTCGATAATTTCCAAGCGCATCGTATATGATGACTTGGAATCGACGCGGAATTGAGCTAGTTCATTTTGGACATTTCTGAGATCGGTGGAGAAATTGCGCAGCGAGGTACTCCTCCGGAAAATGGCTTGGAGAGTTGGCTTGCACTCATGGTAGTTCAATGCACTTGGTTTGGGATCATAAGACAGTATGATAGTTTTCTGGCTGGGCGGCTGCGTAGATCTTTGAAAATTGTCCAAGCCTGTTTAAGATCCAAGAGCTTGTTACTGGATCTGCAACTTCAAATGCCACGCGGAGAGGAAACCCCATTCGGTATGGACCCATTACTCCCACACTGTTGTATTCGACTGACTTGCAAATTCGATCTCTGAAATAGGCAACCATGGCTTCATGCTCACCGGGATAGCCACAGTTTTTCAAAATTTCATGGATGATTACCATGTAGGAATAGTAGCCGCAGTAGATCGTTGCATAGCTCACATCTGTATATGTGAGGATAATCGGATATAGTTCATCCCCAGTTGAGGAGATAGTTTCGGTTGGCGGTGGTACGATTTGAGAAAATTTCTCATACCATATAGCCAGTTTCATTTGTATCTGGAGGGCTTCGGACAGAACTTCTGAAATTGTTTGTAGAGCTTCAGCACTTGTGGCGTCGACATGTCTCAAGCTATACAGCTTATGCACAAGACTCGGAGAATATGTGAAATATGCAAAAAATAGTTCGATGCTGTTGTGCACTTCTGGGGGCAAGTTTGATGTGTATTGCTGTCGCATCTTATCATGCCACTCATTGGATGCTAAAAAGCACTCCTCGCCGGAGAACATTGAGTGCATCACCTATTCGAATATGAGCAAATATTCCAAGTCGCAACTGATTTTATAATGCTTCTCAAAAGGATTAGGCGAGTCCATGGTTCAAACTTACAATCAATCCTCGAGCAGCTTTTAGTAACGTTACATCAAGCTCAGTGTTGTATCTATCTGGCCCTCGAATCCGTACCAGCTGGCTGAGCCCTTTGGCATGCTTCATCCACGACTCTGGGTTCTCGGTATCTGTGAAAAGCTATATATGGTCAGGCACTGACAAATTAATCACTCCGAGAGTGGACAGTATTTACCTCATACATGCATAAGAGTACTACCGCACAAAATATGTGAGACGATAGACTTTCTGCGGGTGTTTCGAGCGATTTGCGGAGCCCTCGCAAGGCTTCCCCATAAGCTGATCGGGCATACGACACCATTGGGGTATTTTGAGTACTACGCCCAAAATGATGTGCCGTGAAAGACCTTATAGTGGCATCCAATACCCGATTTTGGCCATAAATGGAAGGAAGAAACCCAAACCATCTGACCACAACATGTGTTGGACTAGGGGTGTATGGCTGAGAGAAATCGTCAATGAGAACACAAAGATGTTGCACAACATTCAAATCCATGGAAATAAGAGAAGATGGCTTCTCTCTCTGGGCCAGAGACTGGTAGATTGGCTCAAGATCATTTTCAGAATTCGAGGTTGCGCTCTTAGGGCGTGTTCCATCCTTTTTATCATTCCTTAGATTGGGTTGACGCCGATCCCGATATGGCTTTCCAGTAACGAACTTGAAGCTGCGGTCATATCCCGGGCAAGGCTCCCCATACTTGTCGCATTTTGCACAGCCAGGAAGTCCTTGATCACACTGTGGGGCTATTAATATGGCGTGGACTTGCTGACCAGAGTCTATGCAAATAATCCACTCACCTTGACTCGGCGTTTAACACAGAGTGAGCAGCCACTGCTCCGAGGCACACCAACCATTATGAATCATAAGTTCATGTCAAATTAAAGAAGCTAAAGGAGTTGGAGAAACTTCGTATAACTAGGAAGAACAGGTATCATCACGTGCATCGGACATGTCCCGAGATACTCTCATTGGCTGAAAGGTATAAGTTGCATGAACTTGTATAAAGTTGACGAGTATACGGAGTACGGGGTAAGTAATTGGCCATTTGCCTTGAACTAACTGTGTGATGTGCATGTGATGCGTAGGAAAGCCACAAGTCTCAATCTATTTTCCAACGTTAATTGTGAGATTCGTATTTCTTGGCTATGCTATTATTATCACTTTCACATTTCCCCTAAAGCCAGTATACCCCACACTGCTACATATGCCTTGGATATCAGCTATATACGTAGGTCATATAGGTACTGAAACTACTCCAAGTTTCACAAATAGAACCCAAGTTGGGGGAAATTCAAGTTCGGAGCGATCTGTGTTAATAGGCTGCCTCAGGCACTAAAAGGCCCCTTACTCAAGCTCCACTTGTAAAGGTGTCCAGAGACCATGTTTCAGGCCTCCAAGGGGTTTCAGTACGCCATACGGAGAGTACTGTAAGATTAATTAAACCCCTCAAGGATGAAATCACCTGTCACATAGAAATGAAAACCCCTGAGATGGGGAGTTCTGTAACTACGAAAGTACGGAGTACAACGTAAGGCGTTGGCCTATTGGATACACTAGGCTTAACTAGCGTGTATGTATGTAATAGTTTCTGGATCGGCCCTTCTTCACACCTTGTGTCCTCTTGTCTCATACCAATTCTCTATTCAACTTTGACGCGTTGAACCCGAACCCTACTGGGAACATGCAGTGGGACCTGCCTGTATCCGATTAGACACAACAATCCCGTTTCCACCTGATTTTAGGAGCACCCCTGTGCTCTGCAGACGCGTTTCCCGATTCCCCTCGATTCCATACCCGCCCTTGTTCGACTGACGTACCCTCTGTGAGCGATAATGTCCGATAACAATCCCCATCACCCTGGAGTGCGCAGCTTGTTAGCCAAGTTCGAAGGCCAAAGCCCCATCGCCTCTCCGCCGCCTCGTGGCCGATCCCCAGCTACATCAGACTCATCAGGAACAGTTCGGCAACTGTCTAAGGTCCGGGCTAGCTTTATCACTGTGGACGGAGTCGTACAGTCGAGTCCTGCTTCGCCGTTGAGGAAAACAAGTGGGCGCAGCGACAGTCCTGGAATGTTTGGACCGAAAATCAATTCGGGGGATGCGGAGTCTGGTCGACACACTACGATCTCCCCCACCCCGCTCAGTCGCCTAGACCACACACAAAACGCGACTATGGAACAGATAATGGCCGAGGGTCGACCAGAGGAAGCCATTGAAACCAAGGCTGAACGGAATCAAACTGCCAAGGAGGACCCTGCAGCCCACACCGAGACTGCATTTCAGTTGCGAAACACCCCACCAAAGCAGACAGAGGAGCCCATCTCCACGGATTCCAAGTCGACAAGCTCTGACACTCCCTCGCAAAAGTCAAATTCATCAGGAGCAGTCAAGAGGAAGCCTTCTTCCGTTGGGTCTGCCCGCAGTGCAACGAGCAAGTCTGTGCCAACTACTGCGGCTTCAACTGGTGCGAAGCCTGCTGCTCACAATACAACCTCCAAGCCCACAGCTCGCGAAGTGGCTAAAGAGCGTGTCAACTCTCTGGCCCACAAACCGAGTCGTGTCTCACTGAATCCCAAAGCAACAGCACGGCCAGCCCGTGGCTCAGCACCAACACAAGATACTTCAAAGCCACCTACCACAGGTGTGTCCAGCAAGCCAGGAATGAAGTCGCCACCTAAACCTGCCCGTGTAACTGGTTCGATGCACACCTCAACCCAAGCATCTGCTGCGAAGCCAGGAAGCACAGGGGCTCCGAGCACTCGCACTACTACCAGTGCATCAACCCTTCAAAGGAAACCTTCGACCCTCAAAAGCGCAACTGGAGGTCAGTCGCGTGCCACTACTCCTAGTACCAGCATTCGCAGACAAGCCTCTCGCCCATCGTTGCCCGCTCAAGCAGCTCATGACACAAGCACTAAGCCTGTCAATGAAGGTTTCCTCGCGAGAATGATGCGGCCTACTGCCAGCTCTGCGAACAAGTCCCACCCTCAGGAAAAGACTGATGCAAAGCCTGTCCCCAAGACAACATCTGTTTCAAAGGCCCCCCGGTCATCAATTGGGAGGGTGCCAGAGCGTAGCGTCCCCCACGCGAAGCCTAAAAGCACCGCCCTTCGACCTCAGACTCAGAAGTCCCAGGCCCTGAACAAGGAACCTGTGCCACAGAAAGATGGACATAAGCCTTCCCAAAAGAAGCAGGAAAGTGAGAAGGAGAACATCGTGGAGCCTATCACAGCCAGCCCGAAGGAGCCTGCAACAGTGGAACCCGCCCCGGTTGCGGCTGTGGAACAAACCGAGGCTGTTTCCAAGCCAGTCGAGGAGACCGCTTCCCCTGCTCAGGTTGAGGAGTCTACCCCGGAAATTGCCATTGTATCTGCTGAGCCAACCGAGAAGTCGATTGATGTGCCTGCGCCGGTCATCGAGGAGACAGTGGCTGAGATTTCTTCTGACCCCGTCACAATCGAAGCTGCTGCGGAGGTGCCGGCTGAGCCCATTAATTTCAACGAAGCCAAGGCTTCAGCTGAAGCTGAGGTGGATGCTCCTGTTGAGGCCCTTATTGAACCCATAGCTGAGGATGCCGAGGAGGAGAAGGCTGCTGAGACCACTACTGCAACCGAAGAGACTGCCGCAGAGCCCGTGGCAATCCCAACGGCTGACGATCAAGTGAAGGTCGTTGAGAAGCAAGAAACCTTGGTGTCCGAACCCGAGGTGCTTGAGTCTCCGGAATCAACAGAGGTCCATGCCGAGGCTGAAAAAGAAGATGATGTGCCAGTAAAGGATGCCATTGTCTCGGAGATTTTGGCAGAGGCCGCAGAGGAGAATCCCACAGAGGCCAAGTCCACTGAGCCTGCCCCTGATGCGCAGCCCACAAATGAGGTTGAGTCCAACAACGTCGCCATCGATATTGCCACTCTGTCATTGCACTAGACGCTCTATATCAGAACTACACCATGTTTATCTGAAATGGATTTCGCTGGCCCATCTCCGCTTCTGGTAAATTTTGGAATAACCTTTTAATCTTCTCTGATCATATTCTCACCATTTTCTTCTATCTCACCAAACGTGAGCCTCTTTCCATTCATCGAGGCTTGCCCCCGACTTTTTCACCATCCATTCTTCCGTGTCTCTTTCTTACTCTATGCTAGCATTTTTAAACCTGTCAGTGTTTTGGGTTGTTGATTATCCTTTGTTTATCTCTTGCATACTCTGTACCAATTTCGTGAGCATATTATTCTTAGCGCTTAGGGGCATTATCCAATTTAGCATCTTGATTCATCAATATAGCGGGGCTCGAAGCTTTTATACTACTAGTTTCTCGGTTCGTATCTAGCAAGCGCTTCATTTTCTCATCAAATCGAGACGCTTAACAACATTCTTATACTGATTCGTGCTCTCATAGGACTGCGCAGCAGCCGGCCTAGTAACAGCAAGCACTCAAGGTGATCATGACCAGCAGAGATCTCTAACAAGAAAGAAAGATGTAGAATCTCAAACCCCCACCAAAAAAGAGCCTCAAAGTTTCCTCTCGAGCTTCTTCAAAAACCTATTCATACCGCCTTCCAACCGCTCTGCTCTATCCTCCATTTTCCTAGGCCGTTGTCCAGGGTTCTTCATGGCCTTCTGTGCATATTTCTGATGGTGAGAGCTAGCCTCCACCTCAGTGGGTCTATACAACTGGCTATGGATATCATATTCAGAGCCAGCACGCTGATGTTGCTGTTGTAGTTGTTGCTGTTGTAGTTGTTGCTGCTGCTGCTGTTGCACCTGAGTCTGGTCATAGGAGTAGTTCGAGAACCCACCTACCGGCACCGCCGATCCAGGCTGATACTGGGGTGGCGACTGGGCCTGGGCCTGGGCAGCCCCATAAACCTGATGGTCATATAGATGGGCATTCGGATCCTGCGGCGGCGGGGCGAAGGACATTGAGCCTGACCGGCTTGTGCTGTACTGTTGGGCTCCCTGCCCGCCGACGAACGACTGCGGGTATGAAGGGACAGGCACTCCAGGGCTGTGGGCCGAGGATCGAGCAGTGGGGAAAGTGTTCGAATGTTGTAGTCCCACACTGGGCGGAGGAGAGGCGAATGCTGACTGTGTTGAGACTGGAGGGCCTGCGTATTGCAACCCCGGTGTTGAGGGGGGCGGGGATGCAAATCCGCCCACACCTGGTGCGCCCCCCATCATTTGGTTCGGGGGTGTATATGGAATGCCGCTGTCAGCTGCCACAGCGGCTGCGAGGCCGGTGCCGTTCATCCCATCCACTGGCGGGGGGTCTTCTCGCGGTATTGAATCGGCTCTGGGGCGGCTGGAGCGGCTGGATTGTATGGGAGCGGAACGAAGCTAGCTGGGTCTTTCTTTTCCTCGGCGAGGGTAGAACCAGCACTTAACCGTTGGTCAACTTGGGGTCCGCTTGGAGGGGGTGGGGGGAAGCTGCTGGTTGGTGGAGTCGCCTGCTGCACTGGTGCAGCTGTGCTTGTGGGCTCTGATCGTGAGTTGCGTGTTTGACCGTTCATGTAGGCTGGGTCGGAGACTGCAACAGTCTCAAGTTGCTGGACTACAGAGCTCATGGTATCCTGCGGTTGCGGAGCTGGCTCCCGGTCTGTCTCGACCTGGTCATTGGATAGAAGCCGGACGACAGTGTCTAGAAAGTCGGTTGCATCTTCTTGGGTCCAGAAGTAGATATCCAATGTATGCAGGCGAGCGAAATCCCGCAATTCTTTGGGGTTGTCGCGGGGGTCTCCGCTGGGCAGACGCCACTCATGTTGAGGGGCGTCATGTGCATATTGCTGCTGGGGCGAGGTCGTGTGTGCATCAACTGTTAATGTACACAGTGTCGGGAATTGGGCAGAGTGTCTTATATGAACATTGTTCAAGCCTCCACAAAATGCATCCTGCTCTGGAGAGCCAGGATTATTGGCGATTTCCATCCGAGCCTTGTTCTGAAAGGCATCATGGTAAATATAAACATAGGAGCCTTTATCAAAACGGTGTTGATATGGTAAAGGTCTTCGGGTCGGCTCTGTGAAGTAGTAGTGGATATCTGCAAAACTATTCCAGCTGTTAGACACAATCGGAGAACTGCATATCGACCTGTGGGGAAGTCAGTTCAACTCACACAGTCACAAGACGCTCTTCGCCCGCTGATGGTGGCATTATTGCCTGACAATTCAAAGTACGGAATGCAAGTATATAAGATGGCAACAAGTAGAGGGGAAAAATAAAAAGAGGAACTTACGTTTATTATTTATACGTTAGACTGAGGGGTATTCAACCTGTGAAACGCCAGCATCAACCGCCATGCAAGCTGGGCGCTTAGAAGATGTATGGATGTGATGTGATAGGGCGGTACTAGTACCTAGCCATCACATATATCCGCTATGGGCGAGAAAGTACCGGATACCTGGACCAGACCGTGACCCGGAAGTATAGTTTATCCGAAAATTTCCATCATCGCATCTTCAGGCGCTACAACACCTCCTGCCGTGTCTTTGCTTCCCCAGACAATTGCAGTCCATTGTGGTCCCTCTTGGTCTTCCCATTCGTGTATCTGGGATCCCTCGCCATTCTTTCTCTTTCGAAATTGATCAATCCCACTCTTTTTCTTTTCCGAAAGGCCGCCGGTAGAGCTTAATTGCTGCCGTCGCGAAATCAAGATGTCTCTCGTCAACCTTTCCGCCGTCTGCTCCCACTTGAACAATGCCACCAAGGCCCGCCTCGCTCTCACCTCTATTCCTAACAGCAATCTCCACCTGAAGCTCTCCCTCGCCCTCCAAAATTCCGGCTACATCTCCTCCGTGGTTCGCGGAGGCCCGACTCCTCCTCCAGCCCACGGCATCCTCGGTTACCCTGCAGCCAACGATGAAGTCGAAGGCATTGAGCCCATAACGCGCGATAATGTCGCCTCAAGGCGGCTGTGGCTGGGCCTGAAGTACTGGCAGAACGAGTCCGTCCTGGGCAAGATCAAGATGATCAGCAAGCCCACCCGACGGGTCAACATTGATGTGGAGGGACTGCGCCGAGTTGTGCGTGGCGAGGAATCCGGGTTTGTGGCCGGACTTCGCTCGCCGGGTGAGAGTCTGTACCTCTCTACAGACCGAGGGATTCTGGAAGCTCGCGAGTGTGTTGAGAAAAAGCTTGGTGGACTGGTTCTGTGCCGTGTGCTATAAGTCTGCGATTGTCCTAGTGGTTTATCCCTGATTTGGGGAAGCTACCCACCGGGGAGATTTGTTTCTCTTCTTGCATTTAATTTGGAGTTTGTTGGTTAGTCGCAGCGCTTTCTCTTTTCGAGATTAGTCTTTTTGTGACTGTTGGGATAATACCTGGGTCAAGGATCTGTATATTAGATGTCTGCGTATCTCGCATTCTGTGTGCTCTGCTAGTGATTTTGCAGCTGTCCTCAATGTGACACAGTGTATAGATTATGACTTGAAATATGTCCGTACTTCCCTTCCATAGATGTGCTTACTACAAGGTAGTAGTAACCCTTGATAGGTTGGCTTTATAATTATACTGATATCTCATTTCCAGTCTCCCAAGTGTTGGGGGATATGGTGCAGGTGAATAGTATTGCGAAAGGCCATGGCCAGATCGTAGGGCAAGTTAAAATAGTTGGCCGCTTATGAGGTCTGTGTCCTTGACGGCGTAATCCCAATAAACTAATCTATGGGGCTAAGAAATATCTGAAAACATGTCCACGGTGTTTATCAGATATCCCCATGATCCACCCCGTAGCCACTCCCTAGTTATCTTCCTGTTTGACCCCTCTATCTTTTGGGCCATCCTTTACGCTCTCTTCCTTCTTCTGACATCGTCTCATTCACCCTACAAGATCACCTTGCCCTCTCATGAAGTCTTTGTCCCCCTGACCCATCCAGTGATCGTTGGGCATACAACTACCAACCATCGAGCGATCAGAGAGGATGAGTCGAGCCCAGAAGCGTTGTGGCCAAAATTGAAAGAATTGGAAGAGTTGGCCGAGGATCATTGCATCCATCCTGGACTACAAGATGTGCTGGATCTATTGGATCCTACTGACTGTGTGGATGAGGAAGAAGACGATGGGGAGGAAGATGAAGATGAAGAGGGATACGAGGAGGAGGACGAGGATAATGCTCATCAAGCACAACCATAAGAGTCGTCCTTGGGATTGAACTAGACTGTGGCTTAGGCATTAAGAATAAGAGACAACTTCAAATCTGGATGAATTAAAGAAAAGGATCTAACTATTCGAGTGGCCTCTCTCTAGTGTCATTTCCAATATCATTTCAGGTGCTTCTTAAGGTGTTGCAGTAAGTTTTATGTCGCATGTAGTTGTGATGTCGCACAGTTGTGCCTATCCAGTCCGAATTTCCCCCACATCAAAGTCTCCGTACTCTAACACTCAATCAATCTCCATAATGACCGACACAGCGAAGAAAGTAATTATATCTGGTGGCACAGGCTTTGTAGGCTCGGCCATAGTGCGAGCTCTTGCAGAACAACACCCAAACTTTGTCATCGTCGTCATCGACCAAAACCCCCCACGACCCGAGCATGTCCTACCAGAGAGGACTAGATGCATGCAGGTGGATATTACTTCAACTAAAACATTGAGCAAGTTATTCGAGACTGTGAAGCCAGATATTGTTGTCCACGCTGCTGGAATCGTCCCAGATCTAGCCGATCGGTTTGGCCGCCGACTTGAACGGGAGGTATGGAAGATCAACTTTGAAGGCACACGAAGTATTCTGGGTGTATCCAAGCAGAGTGGAGTTGAGGTCTTCATATATACGAGCAGTTGCTGCGTGGTGATCGACGATACACGTACCGCCCATCCTAACATAAATGAAGAATGGCCCTTGGCATTTAGGTCAACCATTTATGGAGAGTCCAAGGTTGGAACTACCAATTCCCATCAGCAGGATTATCGCTATCGGTAGCAAATAAGTTGCTAACACGCTTTCATATGGTACCCAGGCTGCTGCAGAAGCATTCGTTCTAAAGGCCTCGAGCAGCAAAATGGTGACATGTGCCCTCCGGCCATCGGTGCTTTGCGGACCAGGAGACTACCAGCTAGTACCAGCTATTCACGCATGCATCGCCAAATATGAAACCACTTTTTTGATCGGAAATGGCTTCAATTTGTGGGATATCACTCATGTCGACAATGCCGCCGATGCTCACGTTCTGGCCATAGAGAATCTGCTGTCATCCCGTACTGCTGCAGGCGAGGCTTTTTTCATTCAGAATAACGAGCCTATTGTCTTCCGTGATTTCTGTCTGGCAATCTGGGCGCATTTTGGGCACGTCCCGCCTTTTCAAATGCATATCCCAAAGAGTCTGGCTTACTTCGCCGGGCTGGCGTGTGAAACTGTCACCTGGTTGATGGGAACAACAACAACTTTGAGCCGTGGGAGTGTACAAGATGCATGTGCTATTCGATATTGTAGTGGCAACAAGGCTAAGGAGATTCTGGGGTATGAGGCGCGCATTGGCATTGAAGAAGCCATCCGTTTGAGTTGCGAGGTAAGCAGATATCACGAAGACAACATTTTCTATTGCTATACTCACTAACGCAATCCAGGGTTATGCTTGTCGTCTCGGCGTAAAATTGCCCGTCATCAATAGTGGAAGCCGGCAAAAACAATAACATGCCACGTTGATGGAGAATCACATCGAATTTCCGGCTCCCTGGCAAATGTCTAGGGTTAATGATACCCTGGAAATACTCCGATGATTTTCTGGGGCTTGAGAGGCGCCCCTTAGTTTGAATTACTTCATCATACCTCCTATGGCCGTTCAGAGTATGGTCGATAACAATCCTGCTAGGCAACCTCGACCTTGGAAGCATAGACATTGGGCTTCTTGTTGGGCTGCAAGGGTAGATCGTATGCCATCGGAACTGTTGAGCTCTCCACATTTGAAAACCTTGATATTGAATTTTCTCTTTGTTTCACCCAAATCTCCAGAAGGGTCCCCAGAAGAGAGACATGGCCCATGCGGCTTATTGCATTGGGCCCCAAAAAGCCCAAGTGCCCAACGCGGATTAACTACGCGCGTCACGGAAGTTGCATGTTACACCTACCTCAGGTCATCTTTACATTTCTTCTAGGACTTTCGAGGGCGCAGATCACATCTTCTATCTGCACATTTGGGTATCCATAGGTCAATGATGTCCAAGACCAGAACCCCTGTCCTTGCATTTTCTACCCAACACCAGCCTTGCTGCCCGAGGCTCTCCCCCAATACAAGTATCGAACGAGAATGAAGGTGGTGCGGCATCCAGTGTGTTGGGGCTTCGCCCCTAATTTGTGAAGATCGAGGTTTTGGAGGCAATGTTTGCCATGCCATCGGAGTCATGCTATGCACTTCCAGAGGCGTCTCACGGCGCCTCGGCTGCCAACGAGCTTTGCACACCGGTCCTATTCTCGATCGATCGAGATCTTCAACGTAAACGGCAGGGAACGGTTCATGTTCTGTTACGCAATTGGTTTCGTTGAAATCAACAATGCCCAGGCAACACAGGCCTCATCTCCATAGATTTCATCTCCACCAACGCCACTGGCGTAAAGTCCTCTAGCGCGGCTCTCAATCCAGTTACTTTGCCGTTGCAGAAACCTAGGGCTCTGATCTCCTTGGTCAGGCACACTTCAATTCGTCGGACCCGGGTAGAGTGACTTTCCAAAAAGGACTATAATACCTGCCCTTTGCTCGGTGTTTGTGGACTCCTCAGCAACGCATTTACTAGATATATTCTTTCCCTCGCTGCTCTGAAACTTATTTCCAATTCTTATATAAGGCTGTGGTATTACCCCGGCTTACTTTCTTCATGCTTCCTGTCCTTCCTCACCCACTGGCGGCTGGATCAGTCTACCCATTCTCTTTGCCAGCAAGTCTCAGTTCTTGTGCAAGCTCTATCAACTCTAAAGTTGATACTCGGTCTCGCCATAGGTCAGCAGAATCAGCATTGCCATTCCCTCCTCTATTTCCGTGTCAAGAGTATTGGAATCCGAAACTCATGCTCCGCAGCAGCACCATGGCTCAGCACCCTATGTATGGAACTCCAGCAATCTCTCCGGTGGTCTATCAAAGGTATTTTTTGGTCATCGTTCACTTCATTGCAAACTCCTCCCAAGCTATTATCGACAAAACCCACTTTCGTTCCCTTTACTAAACGGTAAAAGGTCACCATCTACTCCTCACGGATATGGCTACGGAGACGATCGTTCAGCGCCTTTCCGTCCAATGGATTCTAACCATCAGACCCATTACCACGGAGCTCCAGTCCCTCTGGATAGCCACAACCACTTGATGGGCCCACCCACACCACCTTCGGGACGTTTATCCTATCCTCCAGCTGGACAGGCCCACCCACCACCTGGGAGTTATGAATGGAGCCAGCCAACCCACCTGCCTCGAGAATCCCTGAGGCGGGACCCTGGAGCAATGAACCCCCCGGAAAGCCCGGAGTATGTCATGGAAAGAAACAGCCAGCGATCTGCCGAGAGATCCAGAGGAAGCCCACACTATCATGCCCAGAGACGGACATCCAACCGGGATGAATTTGATGGCCCGCATCAGTTCCTGGAGCCACCTTCTCCACAGGCTGTTGCTGCCCAGGATAAAGAGCTCCCCCAGCTCCCTACTAACCTCGATGCCGGCGAGCAAGACAGCATCCTCCACAAGGTCAACGACCGCCTGTCCCAGTGTGCCTATGATTTCATCGCAAAGTACCAGTTCCGTGTTCCTATTGAGCAGGACAAGAGACCCGTCAAGGTTCCCTCGGACCGCGAGTGGACTGAATGGGTATACCTCTTGAAGCGGCTGGCCACCACACGCCGCATCCCAGCTCATCTCTTGTACAACCGCCAAATTAAACAGCTCATCACTGTCCTGGAGAACTCCCTGGAGATGCGCCATGCTGCCAAGCACCAGTCTAGGCCAGTCAAGGATGACCGCAACGTGCTGCAGCTCATCTCTGCGGGAACTCAAGTCGCAAAGATCCTTAGGGATTCTAGCGCCATGCAGTTTCTCGATTGTCTTTATGTTGACACCGAGAAATTGATCCTGGAGCGACGTGGCCGTCGTGTAAGATTCGCAAACCCTTGAATCCACTGGATTGAGAATGGCCGTCTTTAAATCCCCGATTGGATGCCACTGTCCTGTTTCTGTTTGTCTTTCCATGGAAGTCCCATGGATTATCCTTTTTTTTCCTGCTTTTCTCTTCTTTTTTTACGACTCCCTTTGGTATACCCCATTGTCAAGTTCGAACCCCTTGGAGGAAAGGTACCCTGGAGCCTCGGTGATTTCCAGGACAAAAGCCCACGCAGCTACGTACCCAGCCCAGATGAAGGGATGATTGAAACCAACCCCCAGTCAGGCTGGCAGGAAAATAATCGTCCGGCTCTCACACATCTCCCCCAGATCTATGTGTCAGCCAGCAGTACGAAAGGAATCAGTAATAGGGCGGTGGTTTTGTTGGTTTTCTCGGTTTGATTTCTATTTTTATTCTGGCGTTCGGGTTGGTTTGTCTTGATATGTTTATGCTTCTTACGTTTTCACCTGTGCCACACGACCATGTTATGCTTTCGGTTTTTTGTTGTATGCAGCACGAGATTATGTCTGTGATTTATGTTATGTCTCTAATTTGACTCGCTTGGGTGGTCCAGTTCTGCTTTTTCCTCTGCTGATATTCCATACATTCCAGGTTTGGAGCTGCATTGTTCCTCATGTCCACCAGTATAGTCCCATGGCTCTACTACAAGTTCACATAAACTTGAACTGTTCGAAGGGCCAAAAAAAGAGGCTGAATATGGAGGGAAAAGAGGCAAAAAATATAGTCTCCCTGGGAATCGAACCCAGAACCTTTCCGGAACATCTGCTAATCGCATTTGTTAACGGAAAATCATAACCGCTAGACCAGGAGACTGTTAGGCCACTTGGACCAATTGATGGAAGAGACACCCAGTTTTGACATTATTAACTAGAATGGTCAATACCATACTATACAATCGATGTTGAGACATCGAATTGGCATTCACACCCAAGACTAATAACTAGTTGGAAATTGGATAGTTAAATATAGTATTAGTAACCAAGAAGTGGATCCAGGTGAGGGAGTTAGAGGCATATATTGTATACTAACATTCCCGT